CCCGCAGTGACGAAGCTGCAGGTGAGCAAGTGGAAGCGCACGCTGTCGGTGGTGGAGGGCGGCTCCATCCAGCTCAACTGCTCGGTGCGCGCGCAGACCAGCGCGGACTCGCGCTTCGCCGTGCTGTGGTACGTGCACCGCGCCGCCGACGCCGACGGCAAGCTCATCCTCAAGACCACGCACCGCGCCGCCTTCGAGTACGGCACCTACGCCGAGGAGGCGCGGCTGCGCGCACGCCTGCAGCTCGAGCGCCTGGCGGCCGGCGGCCTCTTCAGCCTCACCGTGCACCGCGCCGAGCTGGCCGACAGCGGCAGCTACTACTGCCACGTGGAGGAGTGGCTGCTCAGCCCCAACTACGCCTGGTACAAGCTGGCGGAGGAGGTCTCGGGGCGCACGGAGGTCACCGTCCGCCAGCCAGGTGGGGCGGGGCACGCACGGCGGGGCGGGGCTGCATACCCTGAGGGCGGGGCCGCGCAGGCGGGGCGGGGCTGCATACCCTGAGGGGCGGGGCCGTGCAGGCAGGGCGGGGCACGCACACGCTCTGCGGGGTGGGGCTACGCCCTGAGGGCGGGACAGGGGGGGGGCTCTGGCTTTCCCGCGCCCTGCGGCCTGCCCTCAGGACCAGGGCCACGCTCCGCGGAGCACTGGCCCACGAGCTCGGCCTGGGCACGCGATGCTGCCTGCATGGGGCTCGCGCGGGACGGCGCTAGGTCCTTCCGTGGAAGGCGCGTGCGCCCTCCGTCCTCACGGCCGCGCCTCCCCGCAGACAGCCGCCTGAAGCTGAGCCAGGCGCAGGGCAACCTGTCGGTGCTGGAGACGCGGCGCGCGCAGCTGGAGTGCGTGGTGCTGAACCGCACGAGCGCGGCGTCGCAGCTGGCCGTGGAGTGGTTCGTGTGGAAGCCCAACCAGCCGGAGCGGGAGACGCTGGCGCTGCTGGGCCGCGACCACACCTTCAGCTACGGCGAGCAGGCGGCGCGGCAGCGGCTGCGCGGGCGGCTGCACGCCGAGAGCCCGGCGCCGGGCGTGTTCCGGCTGCAGGTGGACGACGTGGCCGTGCAGGACAGCGGCGCCTACAGCTGCCGCGTGGAGGAGTGGCTGCCCGGGCCCGGCGGCGCCTGGTACAAGCGCGCGGAGGACACCGCGGGCCCCACCACCCTGACGGTGCTGCGGCCAGGTGAGGGGCCGGGCCGGGCGCGGCCCGGGGAGGGAACGCCGCAGGTGTGGGTGGGTGTGGCCAGGAGGGCTGCAGCACGGTCAGGTGGGGCGCAGGTGTGGTTAGGTGGGGTGCAGGTGTGGGTAGGTAGGGCGCAGGTGTGGGTAGTGGGGTACAGGTGTGGGTAGGCGGGGCGTAGCGCCTGTGGCTCCCTATGGGGTGGCAGTTCCCCACAGGATTCTTTCAGCTCCCTCTAGCACATCACTACTGGGGCTTGAACTCAGGGCCTGTTCACTGCCCCTCGAGTTTTTTTGCTCAAGGCTGGTACTCTACCACTTGAGCCATATTTCCACTGACAGCTTTTTGGTAGTTAATTGGAGATGAGAGTCTGACAGAGTTTCCTGCCTAGACTGGCTTTGAACTGCGATCCTCGGGATCTCAGCCTCCTAAGTGACTAGGAGGATGCAGGTGTGACCCTGGTGCTGGCCTGGGGACTTCCTGACTGACTGCACGTCTCCACACACAGCCCCGCCCCATGCTGCTGGTGGGCGCTGGAGCTGGTGTGTGGACGTGGCGTCTGAGGAGCGGATGAAGCACATTTGGTTTGTGTGGATCAGTAAGTCAGCCTGTCTCCCTTCTCTCCCTGCCCTCTCCCACCAGATGCGGCCCTGCAGGTAGACTCGGTGGTCCCCAACACCACTGTGTCGGAGAAGGCCACCTTCCAGCTGGACTGTAGCATCGTGTCCCGCTCAAGCCAGGACTCACGCTTTGCCGTAGCCTGGTACTCCCTGAGGACTAGAGCCGGAGGGAGGAGGGGCAGCCTTGGTCCAGAGAGCGAGGAGGAGGAGGAGGAGGAGTTGAAGGAGGAAGAGCGGGACAGGGAGGAGCAGGAGCAGGAGGAGCCCACAGAGCGGACTGTGCTGCTGAGTGTGGACCCCGATGCCGTCTTCGGCCCTGAGGGTGGCCCCTGGCAGGGCCGGCTCCGCTTCCAGAGGCTGTCACCGCTGCTGTTCCGCCTCACTGTGCTGCGCGCCAGCCCCCACGACACGGGCAACTACTCCTGCCGAGTGGAGGAGTGGCTGCGGGGTCCCCAGGACTGGTATCGGCTCACGGAGGAGGAGTCCGCCCCCGTCAGCATCCGAGTGCTGGACACCGGTGAGTCCTCTCCCGGGGGAGGGTCACGGCTCACTTCACATCCACAGCTGACCCCGGGGTTCATGTGTGCTTATTTTGGCGGGGGCGGGGGGGCAGTCCTGGGGCTTGAACTCTGGGCCTGGGCGTTGTCCCTGCGCTCTTCAGCTCAGGGCAAGTGCTCTGTCGCTTGAGCCACAGCACCACTTCCGGTTTTCTGGTGGTTCAGTGGAGATAAGAGTCTTACAAACTTCCTTGCCTGGCTTGGCTTTGAACCACGATCCTCAGATTTCAGTCTCCTGAGTAGCTAGGATGACAGGCGTGAGCCACTGAACCCAGACTGCACTTTTTCTCTGTCATGCTGGGCAGTGGAAGGGAAGCAAAGCAGGATGAGAACACCCCTACAGTGGAGGAAGCAGGCATGTGGATGGGGTCCTGAGCTTTGGGGGCTCAAAGATGGGCTGGGCAGCTCCAGTTTCCAGAGGAATCCGCAGGCTCTGACAGGCTGGAGGCTCTCAGGAGCTCCTTTGCAGTTTTTGTTGGTTTTTTTTTTTTTGGGGGGGGGGGTCTGGTCGTGGGGCCTGAACTCTGGGTCTGGGCGCTGTCCCTCAGCTCTTCAGCTCAAGGCTAGCGCTCTACCACTTGAGCCACAGCACCACTTCCAGCTTTTTTCTTTTTGCTTATGTGGTGCTGAGGAATCGAACCCAGGGCCTCAGGCATGCAAGGCACGCGCTCTACCACTGAGCCACCTTTCCAGCCCCTTTTGCAGTTTTTATAGCACGGCCGCTGGCTGGCATGGGGCACATCTCCCCTGCCTCCGGGTGTCCCCAGGTCACAGTGGTGTCAGGGTTGGCATCCTTAGTCTGGAGTCACATCCGGCGCTGCCGTGGGAAGCAGTGGGAGGGGTCGTGTGCAGTGCCCCAAGAAGGGCGATGGTGGCAGAGAAGGGTGTCTGGGGACCCGTGCCACATGGGCCGCTGTGGCTTCTGTGGCCTGCTAGATGCGGTCAGGTCACAGCCAGCTCCCTTCTGTGAGATGGGGCAGAGCGTGGGGTCGCTGGGCCATGTGAAGTTGCCACTGTGAGTGGGAGAGCGTGGCCCTTTGGGGGGAGGCCCGCTTGCATGCGTGGGGCTGGTGTGGCCTTTGGCGTGGATGTGGTTGTCCGGCCTCACCAAGCCTATCCCGTGTCCTCCCAGGCCCCACACTGCAGTCCCTCATCTGCTCCAACGACGCGCTCTTCTACTTCGTCTTCTTCTACCCATTCCCCATCTTCGGCATCCTCGTCATCACCATCCTGCTCGTGCGCTTCAAGAGCCGGGGCGCAGGCCGCGGCGCGGAGGGGAAGAACGGGGTACCGCTGCTGTGGATCAAGGAGCCGCACCTCAACTACTCCCCAACCTGCTTGGAGCCCCCGGCACTCAGCATCCACCCAGGGGCCATCGACTAGCGGGCTGTGGGGCCCCCGGCAGTGCCGGCGCCCACCGCGGCTGCCGGGAAAACACCACTTGGAAAGCGTCCCCGTGATGTCCCCACGGTGTGATGTGCCACGGTGGCCGGCGGAGGCCCCGCCCTTCGCCCCTGCGCCATGGCAGGACCTGGCCGCTGTAGCTTCCTAGTTTGGGGTCCATGTGTGTCGTGACAGCCCGGGGATGCCATGCACCACCGGCGCTGGGCCTTCACCATGGCCCCTTCTAGACCTTTCCGGCTCCTCTTCAGCCTCCACGGTGCTGCGGGCGGAATCCCAGACCGCCCCTGGCCGAGGGATGGCGGGCGGCATCAACGGGGCCTTCCAGAGCCTTCTGGATTTGCACACTTGAAAATGCCGTGCCAGAACCCGAACACACCCAGACATGTTTGGTTGGGGGGGGTTGTATCTTAACAAGACTTGAAAAGGGTGGTGTGGCCCCGCGTGATGTGGCTCCGCATGGCTTGTCTGTGGGCTGCCGTGCAGGAGCCCTCCAGTGTGGCTTCCAGGAACTTGGCAGGACCAGCCCTGCACCATCAGGGCCAGCGGTGCCCGGCCAGGGAGCGAACAGAACAGGGGCATCTCATCCTTGCCAAGAAAGTGAAAGTCTCTAGGAAATTGCTGCGCTCCGCGGCCGAGGCTGCCGTAGTGACCACACACCCGAGCCTCGGACCAGAGCTGGTGCCCTCCGGTGCTTTGTCAGACTTGGAAGAGAGACAGCCAGGGCTGAGCCGCCAGGGTCAGGCCGCCACTGTTCGCCCAGCGTGGAGGGACCATGGATGGGGACAGAGCCCCGTGTTTCCTTTCTCCCTCCACCATCCCCAGAGACAGTGATGTCTTCCTGTTCCTCACGCCCCTGTCCCCACAGCTCACTGTCCAGAGAGAACGGGCATCAGGATCCTGGCTGGTAGCCAAGCACGCGCCTGTCATCCAGCATGCCGGAGGGGAAGGCAGGAAGGTAGAGGGTTGGAGGCCAACCTGGCCTCCATAGTAAGGCCCTGTCTCTAGGAAGTAAAGAAGAGAGGAGGGAGGGGGAGGGTGCTCCTCACGCCTCGTGTCAGTTGGGGGTGCTGTGGGGGGGGGGAGGCAGGTCCTTCCCTTTTTCCCTCCCCCCTTTTTGTGCCGGTACTGGGGCTTGAACTGGGTTCTGTCCATTAGCTTCCCAGCTGAGGCTATGCCTGTGCCCCATGAGCCACAGCTCTGCTCCCAGCGTGGTGCTGCTTCGGCGGAGATTCAAGTCAAGACTTTCCTGCTGGGGCTGGCTTCAGGCAGCGATCCTCCAATCTCCGCCTCCCGGGTCCTGGTTTTAGGTTGGGTGCCCCTGTTGGGTGAATGCTGTCAGCTGCCCCCTGGAGGGACGGCTGAGCCCCCTCCGGGCCACGCCGCACATCCATTCGGGAGAAAAAGAAAAGACTTGTGGAATGGAGTCTGAGGAGAGCCCTGTGGATCCGGGTCTAAGAGTAGGCTGGAAGGAGTCAGACCCCAGGCACATGTGGACGTGGGGCCTTGGGAGGCCAGTGCACAGAATGCTTTTGCCCGGTTCACTCAGTTCAGGGGTGCAGATGCCAGCTCTCGTGAGCTGAGGATGACTCTTCCCTGCCTGAGTGGAAAGGCACCGTGGCTGGAGCTGAGCCGTGAAGTCGAGTGTGTAACAGTGCAGGAAGTTCGAAAGAAAAACCCGACTCCAGTATTTTAACAATTGCGCTTTTGTTTTTCTCCTGTCTTTTCTATGGGGCTGGGGGAAAGAAGTTGAGCTTTGAGCTTTCTATGAAAAAAACCCCAGGACCCTGGTTCTGTAAGCATTTCTATGGAAATGTGGCGTCCTGCTGGCGGTGGTGCCCTCTGGTGGCTGTGTGGCCTCCCTGCACATCATCTGCCCGAGCCTCAGCCTTGGAAAAGCGGGCACTGCCGACTCTGTGTCCGCGGGGTGGCGTTGGTGAAGACCTGCAGTGTACCGTGTGCGGTATGCCCTGCGCCCCGAGGCCTGCCCAGGACAGGCAGATAACCCAGCCGCGCCCCTCTTTCGCTGGGGTGCTTCCGTAGCAAGTTTTCATATTCTTTACAATGGTTTCTCTGCAGTTAATTGTTGAAAAAAAATGGGGTAAGAACCCATTCGTGGTAGAGAGCTGTTGTTTTTTTGTGTTTTTATTTTTTTTAAAGGAAAAACTATTTGTAAGATGTTGCACTAAAGCGTTTTTATATAACCTCAGAGAAGTGTAGTAAATTATGTTGATGATACGTGTGGAGTCCGCCTGTGCTTCGTCATCTAGATTTCTGCCCTTGGCATTGGCCTGCTAAGACCCAGTGTCCATGGATTGCTCAGCTTGCTTGTTAGGCTGGTGCTCTACCACCTGAGCTGTGCCTCCAGCCTAGTTTTTTGCTATCTAGTTGGAAATAGAGTCCAGAATTTTTTGCCTGGACTGGCTTTGAACCTTGATCCTCTGCTTCTCAGCATGAGCCTCTGGTGCCTGGCTGTTAGGTGTTAGTTTTACCTTTTTTTTTTCTCCCCATGTACTTTCTTGCTAGGAATTACACAATGAAAAAGAAAAAAAAAAAGAGAAATGGAGTGGGATGCAGACGGAGTCCCTTTGGGAAAGTCCAGTCAGTGTAGAGAAACGAATGTCTTCCCATGAGCTGTCCAGTGAAAATGACAGTTTGTGCAGTGTGCAGGCAGGGCCCACTATGAGTGACAAGTGACATTCTAAGCTTCATATTTCCAGCCAAGTGGCTCACGCCTGTCATCCTAGCAGCTCAGGAGGCTGAGATCTGAGGATCACAGTTGGAAGCCAGGAAAGCCAGGCAGGAAAGTCTCAAAGTACATGAAATCAAAGGAAATCAAAGGTCCTGTGGTGGGCACTGTTGGGCAGGCATGCTGGGGGGGGGCGTTGATGGGACACCCCAGCTCCTCAAGACAACCATACTGGTACCCAGCAACTCAACCTCAGAAGTGGGGACCTAGGAGCCAGGGGCTGGTTCTGGAGCCGCAGCTGGAGTGCAATACCGTGAATGTACACTGGGTGTCGCTCTTGCACAAGACCAGCTGCAGTTCCTGAGGAGCCTGCGGGCCCCCGGGGCTCAATGAAGAGCCTGGGCGGGGCCTGGCACCAGGGTACTCACTTCTCCCCAGGAAATGTGTTCCAGCCTCGCACCGCACCGTTGGCTCACACCTGTCATCCTAGCTGCTCAGGAGGCTGAGAGCTGAGGATCACAGGGCAAAGCCAGCCCGGGCAGACAAATCTGAGAAAGGTATCTTCAGTTAGCCCACCAAAAGCCAGAAGTGTAGAGCCTAAGTCTTGAGCAAAGAAAATCAAGCAGGCGAAAATCATTCCAGGACCTGAAGAAAATAATTTTCCAAGCAAGATGTGGGAGGGTGGAAGTCATTTCTCAGTTACCAGAGGGACCGGGAAGCACCGAGAGAGCCTGACCTAGAGCCATCCACCAAAAAAATTTCCGAGCGGGTACTTTCGTGCAAGCTGGAGCTATGCTGATCTAATTTGGGCCTGAGCTGCCTCGTGGCAGGGTTTCTGCCTCCACTGCTTCCTATTAACCTTCCCAGCCTTCTAGAACACTGCTTCCTCTAGCCCCAGCCAGGCCTGACTTCCACGCCGGAGCCTGGAGTCTGGCCTGTGAGGACTGGTCCCGTGGGGAGGTGGCTGTGGCTGGTCACAGCTAGTGAGCCTCGGGCGGCAGCTGCTGAAGCTCCTGTCCTTGCGTTTTATCTCCCTCCCTTGGGAAGAACTCTCTGGAAGTAGAGAAGGGGGAGCATGTGGCCTGGGGGGAGGGGTTGCGTGGTGAGGGAACATTTGGTCTCTGTCTTATGCTCCCACTGGGTATGTGAGGGCTGTGGCTCTGTCTCGTAGATGGCTGCCAGAAGCCTCCATGGCTGGCGTTTGGGTTCCAGTCTCATCTAGCTGAGAGCGGCTGCATCTGCCTTCTGTCCTCTCTCTCTTTCTCTTCCTCCTCTTTTTTGTTTCTGGTGGTGATGCCAGGGCCTGGCATTGCTAAGATGGCCTTTTTAGCTGGGGCCACACTCCCCCCCCACCCCCAGCCCTTTCTCCTGAAATGACGTGCACTGAGGTCCATTTTTGCCCTAAGCTAGCCTCAGACCGTGATCTTTCTCTCTGTGGCGTCCTGCGTAGCTGGAGCCACTAGTGTGCCGCACAGGGGGCCCCTGTTCTGGTCCTCATCCTCACGATGAGGTGGTTGGGTTGCCCCGTGGCAGCTTTGAGTGGAAATGTCAGGTTGATGGACAGAGCACACAGTCGAGGCCGTTCCCCCCGCCCCCCCCACAGCTGACGGCTGCCATGTGACACATAGAGCAGGGCTGCTACCTGAAGCTCCCAGACACCTGGAAGGCAGGAAGGATGAGAGAGGGCGGGACCTGAGCCCCAGGTCCAGGCTGGCATGGGGGTGTGTGGCCGGAGCAAACCTGGCTCTGTGATTGGCTACAGGGCTCCCCCTTCTCCCCTAGGAGGAGCCACAGGCACTGGGGGCTGCCAGGAGGAAGTCCCAGATTAGCCAGCCCCAGATGCCTGGGGCTCCTCGGGGCAGCAGATATGCCAGGCGGGCCGCTCTCCCTTCTAGATGGCCACACTACCCAGAGCGGAGGGACAGGAAGCCGGCACCCGGGAGGGCAAGGACAGGACTTGCCAGGACGGCCGTGGCCGGCGGGCTGTCATCGCGAGACCCTGGGATAAACAGGGAACCTGGAGACTGCCACTGCGCCAGACAGCCATCCCAGCTGCTCGAGAGGCTGAGATCTGAGTGAGGAGCGCGGTTTGAAGCCTGCCCGGTCAGAAAAGCCTGTGACACTCTTACCCACAACAAGCCACCAAAAAGCTGGACGTGGCGCTATGGCTCAAGTGGCAGAATGCTAGCCTTGAGTGAAAAGCTCAGAGCCATTCCCAGGCTCTGAGTTCAAGCCCCACATCACAACTGGCACGCACACGCACTTACAGGCCTGCATACACACACACACACACACACACACACACACCTGCCACCAAGCCTGGCGTGCTGCTTTGCTGCC